GAAATACCCTGTGAAACTGGCTAGGAGAGACTGCTGACACTATTCCAAACCATGGCTTAAAACAGCTGCAGTGGTAGAGAGAAACCACACAGCAGCCAGGCCTACTGAATCTGGATTCGGGGTGGATTTAGTCTTTCAAACCATTCTATGATGCATGGGGAGTGGATTTCACCCCTCACCAATAAAGCTGCATTGTTTCTTGGACTTGGTATGCTTCGTGCCTAGATTGTTTCATACATCAGAAGGAATAATATTTGAGTCCAAACTGAATAAACAAAAAGACTAGTTTTATTACACTATGCTGGTGTATGGAAGTTTTTAAAACTGATGTTGGTAATCATGATGATAGGACAATTTCTTGATAATGAAAAATATACATAATTGATAGGAAAACTAAGAGCTGGAGTATAAAGATTTTGTCTTTCAAAGATCAAAGTATGATGAGCAGCCAATTCATAGATTCTTCTGGCAATCAATACAAAAGGATAAAGCAATAAAGTGAAGAAAACAGAAACACTGATGTTTTCATGAGTTAAGTTAGTGAGTTCATGTTGTACAAGACAACAGATCTCATTAAGGTAGCCAAGATTTTAAACAAACCAACTTGTGTATAACATTTCTGAACAATTAAAGTGCATGTAGATGAACTGACATTGGGGTAATGCCTGATACCATAAAATTAAACTAAATGTATTTTGCACAAATTGGTTAAGTACTGGAGTGGCTGCAGGATAATGCGGGAGAGGGAGTTTCATTTATTTGTAAAACACCTTCATCTACTTATTTTCCAGCCCCTATTGTAGGCACAAGCAGCAGAAAATTTTCTTTACTTTTGTAGTATTTTATAGACCTGACGTGATCGCTGCAAGCTTGTGAGCCCTTGAGCAGGTAAGTTCTGGGAAGCCATGGCACTCAGTTTTTAGGCCTGTTTACACTAAGGAAGTTCTGTTCTGAGTAAGCTGCACAGATAGACAAGTTTAAAAAATTCAACAAATTAGAAAACATGAACAATAAATATTACTGTTGCTTGACACTGCACAATATTTTTTATTACTCTTATGATAACAGTAAGAGAAGAAAACTATAAAGATGGCCCATGGATCAAATGGTGCTGGGAAGATGATCCCTTCACTGATCACTGAATTATCCAACTGAACAATTGATTCAGCTACCTCTGTCACAACCGATCAGGGCATCCATCCCACAAAGTCAGCATCCCTGATCATGTCAGTGCAACAGGGAAGAGTAAATCTAAAAGTTCAACATGTGGCTTGTATTTGCTTCTTCACGTTCTAGGTGAAAAATCTGACTGGAAAGGCAGTGCAATTGGGGTTTGCATTTTCCATAGTACATTACATCCAATTCTCGGGAACAGGACTTCTCTGCCACTTGTTTAAAGTTTTAAGAGGGTTTTTTCTTCTCATCGCAATTTTTTTAAATAATGTTTCAGAAGGTTTTGATTTGATCATTTTTATTACAGTGACCCATAAACCACCATGAGGTAGGTGAGGATAAAAATAAATTTGACAAAAAATTATAAACACAGAATGATGTGTCATTCTTTAATTATCCAGTAACCTGCTCTTATCATGGTCTTGGTGTTGAATAATGGTTACCTTTTGCTTTACAATCTCCAGGGTTGGGTTTTATCTAATATATTTGCACCCAGGAAAGTTTATGTCAGATGTAGCCTTTGGTCTTCTATGAGATTCAGCTATCTCATCCAATTTCCAGTTAGGTTGGTTGAAGTACAAAGAAATAAAGTATCTTATCCAAGGAACATAGCAAGTTATTGGCCAGCTGAAAATTAGAACCCAGAAAGCTACTGGCTCTCAGTCCATTTGGTTGAACCTCTAGACTGCACAGGGTCCAGTTACTCCTCTCTCTCTCTCTCTCTCTCTCTCTCTCTCTCT